GTAAAATCACTACACACATCTTCAAGTATCATATGCAAATTTCAGGAAGTAACCAGATGACACCGATGGTTACGTCACAATGACGAAGTGTAAGAGAGTGATATATAAGGAATACAGGCAAAGAAGTAAAATTGTTCGCAGGTGCTTTATAAGCATTTCAGTGCAATAACCGAATAGTTATGACACAAAGGACGCATTTGGATGATTTTTTACGTGGTAGAATTATTGGCCGTCTGGAATGTGGGCATACCCAACTGGAATTATCAGAGGAACTTGGAATTGCCCGAAGTGTCATCTCCAGGCTTTGGCAACGATTCAAGATGGTGGTAATGTGAGTAGACGTACAGCAACAGGTCGCCCCAGAGTTACAAACGCTGAATGAGGACCGGTATTTGGCAGTTACTGCCAAAGAAACAGGCGGGCACACCTCAGACCTGTCTCGTCAGCTCTCTTCAGCCACTGGTACGACAATTTAAGGCAGACCGTGTACAGACGCTTAGGGCAGATTGGTCTATATGCTCGTAGACCTGTCAGATGCGTTCCACTTACTGCACTCACTGTCGCCTGCGGTTAGCCTGGAGTAGAGAGCATGCATTGTGGACACCGCAACAGTGGGCTTGTGTGATGTTTCCGACGAGTCCAGGTTAGCTTGCAGTCTGATTTTCGCCAGACTTTCATAGGAGAGCTTCAGGTACCCGTTACCACCAAGAAAACACATTGAACGACACCGTTACGCTGGTGCAAGTTGGCGTTTGTGGTGGAATTAGTCGGGTTCCAGAACTGACCTGCATGTTCAAATGGGAACATGACAAGCAAAATCTATCGGGGACGTCATTCTGGAACAAACATGTACGTTGGTTCGGGCGCTGGGCGCACAATTTGTGTTTATGGATGACAACGCCCATCCTCACCGTGCAACACGTAGCGAATGCTTCAATCGGAGGAATCACCCGTATGACTGGCCAGCTTCTCATGGACTTATAGTAAAGAGTGTGGGACATGCTGCCGACGAGTTGACGTCAACCTCTCCTACACGTCGCCGGAAGTCGGAGAGCATTTTTTTGAGTGGTGTAATATCCCCAAAGATCAGATCGATAATTTTATATCAGCATCTGGCGTGTACGGACTTATAATCGTCTGGGGAGACTACAATGTATTAACAATCATACCACCCGTAATATTGGGTTTAAATAGGGTTTTTTTGTAATTGCTCCAGGGAGAAAAAATCGTAATTTTTTTACTAATATCAAACATAGCATCTTTTTTTTTTTGCTCTTTATTTGTTTAATAAAAGTTTTACAAATAAGTCAATTTGTTTTCTTTAACTAATCCTTGCTGATTTTGCTATCTTCATTGGACGAGTTACATGTCGCACTGCAACTCGATTAGAATCGAAACTAACGCCTCAACGGAGAAAAGGTAAGTGATTTATGCTTACCTATTATTTTAAAGTGACTCTAATTGTAAGTTATAGTTACGTAAACTGTATAAATGAGGTAAATTGAAAGTTACTATAATAGTTTGAACTAATTAGCGCTATATTACGAAGTCGCAAAATGTTCTCGGTTTAAGGTCTCAAAAAACAATATTTATTTCTGTTGGCAAAAGAACTAGGTCAGGATACTGATGAAAGTCTTAAACTTACAGAACTGAAAGATAAAATTCTTAACAGTAATGATTACAAAACTGATCCTAAATTCGTTAAATTCGTAAATGCTTATATTCATAACTGATGATAGGAAATCCAGTGAAGAATTGGAAGCTGAAAAGTTGAAGCTAGAAAAGTTTAAATTAGAGAAAGAACACGAATTAGAAATTGCAAACTTAGAGCTCACTAATTTTAATCTTCGATAAAACATGGTTAGAAATTTAACTAAAGCCTACAAATTTTAACGATATCGCCGATTCTACCGGAATGTGAACACTTTTTCTGTTCGCTAGAAGATAAAAATGCGCCAGAAGAAACAAGCCGAAATTTGATAATCTTTAGGGAAAAGCAAGCAAACGCTTGGTTATGTAAGTGAAGATGATGTAAAAAATTACGAATAGTTAAGAAAAAATCATAAAATATATCAGCCAATGCTGAAGTATGTTTAGATACTGTTTGAAATTGATCAATTTCTTATTAAAATGGCGATGGTAATTATTTAGCAGAACCTTTTTAATTAACAACGACTATTTTATTAGCTTCTAAAACATTCAAAAAGAATAACATTCCATGCGTTATCACGCTCAAAGTAATATACAAAACAACATCACTGTTGCCACAAAAATCTGCACTATAATGAACATATTAAATTATTGTGTATTAACAGAGTTCGTGCACGTTCCTGAACATCCTCCCACCTTGCAAATTTTAGGAAATTGCAACGTATTCTCTACTCAGTTCAAAGATTCAGTCGATGAGGAACTTTTACTTGTCTTCCGGCCCCAGTGGTTATGAGTCTGCCTATTTTAGGGGACTCAGTGAGAGGCTCAACTATCCTTGAGGTATCAATCTGACCATCTAGAGCTGTTGGTAGTTGGGGGGAACTTCTAAGATCCGCATCTTGATCTGGATTTAACGAGACTTGAGGTGGATAGCTCTGAGGGGACGAGTCACTTCTAAAGGATACAGGTTTTGGACGGGTCTTATTTTTTTCTCCGTCAGCCATTTTTACTTTTGCCACTCTTACATGACCATCTGCACCTGGAATACTTGGACAACAAGTCCCAGTGGCCAGTTGATGCGCTTTTCCGGAGTTCAATCAGCACCACATCACCCACCTCTAAAGTGTCTCCTTTTCGTTCTCTTCTATGGACTAGCATGGCTAGGTACTCATTTCTGAATCTCGAGCGTAAAGAATTTGCAGAATTTGCAAAGAACCGCAATACCGAATTTAAACTTTTGCTGTCTATAGTATCCAGATCCTTTACATCATGATGAGGGATTCCTTCTATAAAATATGCAGGTGCCAATGGCTTTAACTCCGCAGTCCCGTCTTCTAAGTAAGTTAAGGAGTCGTGAATTCATTGTTACTTCACAGTCGCATAGTATAGTTTCCATCTCAATATAACTGACTGACCGTTTTAGAAGCCCAAAACTAGTCTTAAAAGGTCTTTTACCAATCCGTACCAACCTCTCCCAAAATCCTTACCCACCAGGGAGCGGTTGGAGGATTAAACTTCCATTTAATCTTCTCAATTGTTGAGAACTCCATTATTTTTTTTTTCCCAATCAAGTTCGTTTAATGCATTATTCGTTCCTACAAAGTTGGTACCATTGTCGGTATATATGATGCTTACTCTACCCCTTCTTGCAATGAATCTTCTGAAGTGCCATTATAAAGGAATCTGCTGATAAAGATTTTGTCAATTCAAAGTGCACAGCACGATAAGATCGCACAAGTAAAAATCACAATCCATGCTTTTTTCGCCAGACAATACATACAGTGGGCCAGCCAAATCGATGCCAGTGACCTCAAAAGCTCCAGCATATTTAATGCGGTCCTTTGGTAAGGGTGCAAATGGTGGTTGAACAGATTTCCCTTTGAATCTTTTACAAATAACACACTTTGAACAAATTCTCTTCACAAAGACGTCTCACACCGACAATCCAATAATCTTCTCGCAAGTGGCAGATCAAGGTCCCGTGTACCTGCATGTTGCAGTCGCCGATGTTTCTGTTCTATTAGGCGATGAACTAGTGCATGGTTCCCTGGAATAGAATGGACACTTAAAGTTTTGTCTTCATCACTTAAAATAGTTGGTTCTTACTCGAAGAAGTCCAAAATCATCCTTAAATGTAATCATGCCTTTCAAATTTTTTCCATCAGTATTCCGAAAGTTTTCGGCTTGAAATAAATCTAACAACCTTTTCTCTGCAAAACTCACTTCTTCTGAGGTTAATTCCTTAATAAATTTTTCGTTTTTTCTATAACCATTGTTGTTAAGAAATCTAAAGATCCAAGCTAATACTCTCACATTTTTACAATATTCAGAAAATCGAGTGAATGTTTCTGTGAAGTTTGGGGTTCTACAGGAAACGTTAGAAACCACATTTTCTCTTTTTTCTGAATTAATTGTACTTTCATCAGTTTCTAGTTCTGACTCTTCAGAGAGAGGCCATTTATCCCTGTTTAAGCCAATCCGGCCCCTCCCCCATCTGTCGTAGAAACATTTTGGCATCGCACCCTCTAGAGGGAAGATCACTGGATTGCTTAAGTGGTACATAATGCCAGTCGCGGTTGTGCATCTATTATTTCATACACATTGGCACAAACACTCCGCGGGGTTTTTATCCATGTCAAACAGACGAGTCGCTCAAAAGTATTTGACTTTGTCAATTTAAGAGCCGTCAATGACTTGACGGTACAACAAAAGCTATAAGTGCTCCAAGCAACTCTAATCTGGGAATATTACTTCTTTGAGGTGTACTCTGATTTACATAATACCAATTGTACTGAAGTTTGGCCCTCAAAATATGCACGTAAGAAAATGCATGCTGCATAAGAACTTACTAGCATCACTAAAAAATGTAGAGAGATACAACAGTCATCGAAGGGTCCAATAACAAGCTTTGAAATTTTACAATAATTCAAGAAGTGTAGTCTTTTGAGCCAAGCCTGAATTCTCTTTCTATACCTTGTGGAAGATTTTTATCCCAGGAAAGTTTCATCTTCCATGTTTTTTTTTTTTTGCAGAATAAGTTTTGTAATTAACGTAGTTGGACTTGTAAATCCGATGGGGTCGAATATTCTCTGTGAGACTGACAGAAGAGATTGTTTCGTGTGGGCACTCTCCGAAAATGCCAAAAAGGTTAAATTGCAATAGATTTCATCCTTCTCGGTGTCCCATCAGAGTCCCAGAATTGGAATGATCTTCTGATAGGAAGTCAGTTCTTCTTGCAGGGCAGCGTCCACCCTCTAAGTCAAACCTCTGAAGACATAGAGTTTGGGACTCTTCTTTGACTGACTACTCTTGGTTTCGAAACTAGCTATACATTGTCGACTAAGGATTCTTCAATCTAGTCGTTCCTCTAAATTTGTGGAGCATTCAAATGTAAGAAATGTTGCGCCCAAAGGAATGACCGAAGAATGCCGAACACGAACACAGTTTGTAGGTACAATCTCGGTTTTTTGAATCTTTCCACCCAGGAATTTCAAAAAGTCTCTGTCTCTGGCACACAAACTGATTTGTAAGAAAGTTTTCCTTATATCGGCAGTAACACCAATGGCATGTTGCCGGAATTGTATAAAACGTTTTGGAAGCATTTCTATTAAATTCGGCCCCTTTTCGAGACAAGCATTCAAGGAATTCCCATTTTCATCCATCAATGATGCATCGAATACAGGTCGCACTTTCGTAGTCATACTGGAATCTTTGATTACTGCTTTATGAGATAAATAGTGACCAGAATCACTATTATTCTGAGCCATTTCAATTATACCTTCATCGTGCCAGCCTTTAATAATACCATCATATTCTTCGAAAAAAACCTATCTTCTGCAGTCTTCGTGTATTGGCGAAAAGTCTTTTTCCGTTTATCTTTATTATCTTCAGAATCCGATGACTATCCTTCCAAGGCAAAAAACTATACTTTGCCCTCGATATTTAATGTTCTCTAGAAAATGATCGTTTCATTTTCTAAATCTTCACTTCCGCGGATCTTTATGCCATGTCTCTAAATTCATAGTTCTGTGGATCCAAATAACAAAGTCGACGTACAAGCAAGTATTATGACTTTGCACTGGGCCTTGTAGGGTCCAACACAATTTGTTTCAATGGCAATAAGGTTTTTGCAATGGAATGATATATTCGTCATCAACTGTCCGGAATAGTCGGCTCTATTAACATCCGATATCTGGTATATCTCTTCCAGATCACTGATTTTATTTTATGTTCTCGAGTGAGAGATTATGTTTGGTTTCATCTAGAAGTATCCACAAATTTGTCTTTATCTAAAACCGATAACTCGTATTTGAATTTACTATCCGTTCCTTGTATTTCGATATCAAAAATACCGTGGAACTGAGATTCAGTTTCCACTCTCTCAAACAAATTGTGGCTCAAAGTCTCTTGATCTAATGGGATTAAATCTAGTTTCTTTATTATGTCTTTCCATAAGTAAGATCTTTGTGACCCACTGTCAAAATAGCGTTACTCACAAGCTCCTTTTTTCCATTATGGACAATTCTTCACCATAATAGTTTGGAGAAGAGTTGTTTGCATTTTTTTAGTTAGACAATAAAGTCTCACTCGTTTCGTTAGCTGCTTTAGGTGCTTCCTTTTTTGAACTTCTAGAACCTTTCAGTTCTCTGCACATAACCGTTACATGACGTTTGTTGCAAACTAGGCATTTCACAGAACTTGTATACTTTTCGGCAGCATGCCCTATTTTTAGGCAGTTAAAACAAGCTTTTTTCTTTCTTATTAAATTTTTCTTATCTTCTAATGAAAGGCTGTGCAGCTTAAAGCACTCATAAGAATTATGTGCTTCCTTGTCACACCAAACACAACAATTAAGCTGTTTCTTCTTTGAATCTCCTGCATAAATACAAACTGCTGGGGCTGGAACCGAGTCAAATTTGTCTGGAGCAGAAAAACTTGTACGGGCCAATTGAAGACGCTCTTCACTTTCAACTTCAATTTGGAGAAAGCAATAAATTTTCAAATTTTCGTAGTAGTGCAGAACTTTCCCTACGATGCGAGATCGCTCCCATGCCCTCAAGTCTCAGGTGGAAGACTCTACAAGGGGACAGCGATCTGCATATCTCACTTTTTACCCAAGCTCCAAGCTCTGAGTTGCGTCTTAACGTATCATATAGTTGATAGAGTAATATTTCCTTTTTGTAGCTTGAGCCAAACCAACTTAATACCGAACATAGATTTCTCAGTAATTCGTCTAGTGCAATCGAGATTTACTGCTGATAGCTTCTTTATAATTCGCGCCAGCGGGGAGGATAACATCTCTGAGCTCTCTCGCTGAGATCAACGCCGTTGACTGCAATAGGTATGAAATTTGTATCTCATCTATATTACATCTCGTCGTTTTCACAACATGCACAAAATCCAACAATTCGGGCTCCCCTTGACTTTTTGAAGCTTCAACTTTGGTAATTTAAGTTCCTTTTCGTGGAATTTCTAAAATTCCAGTGTATACGGAGTGGAAGTCACCAGTGTTTTCTACTTTTGTTTTTTTAAACTGATATTTATCACGATATGTTTCATTCGTGTAAAAAATCAGCTAATTATTCACTTTCGTTTTGACCTTCAATAAAAGTTCGGAAATTGTGATGTAACGTCATCTAATCTGTTGATTTCTACCACTGTAAACAATACTTGGATGTTATTAAATTCCACGTCATGCTTTAACATTTCAGCATCTAAAGCATTGGCAGTCATCGTAACGATTGCCTTGTGGCTACCTTTTTTTTAAAGTTACATGATTTAAATTCAATAGTCCAATAATTCAAATAATAAGGTATAATCAAATAAATCATAAACTCCCTTGATAATTCCAATACGAAATCATATTTAGTTTTCTTCGTTTTCTCTCGCAATAGCCTTCCCCTTCCCGGAGCCATTGTACGCGAATTAGATCAATTCTTATTTATTTAATAAATTCGGACGAATGGTATATATTAGCAAAGAAAACCTTTTAATTACAACGAACTATTTTATTTAGCTCTAAACATATAAAAGGAATCCATATGCGTTATCCGCTCAAAGTAAGATGTAACAACATAAATTTGCCACAACATATACATTTATAGAACATATAAATTATTGTGTATTAACTGAGTTCGTGCACGTTCCTGAACAGATACGTTTCGAAAGGCTAAACGTCAGTCAGGGGGAACACGTGCACAATTTGCAACCCGGGGTTAATGACACAGTGGAAATACTAGCACGGTAAGGAATGCGAATGATTTAAATACAGTGCATGAATTAATTGCAGCCGATAAATTAACGCAAACTCTTCACCATGAGACAACCATGCATATAAATGTAAAACAAGGTGATAAGTAGTTAAAACCCGCGGAAATCGGAAAGGAATGTGACACGTTCTTCGTTTGTAAAAGAAAACCATTAAATAATATTGGTAACTTTTCTCAGAAAACACCAAATATTGAAACCAAAAGTACTCGCTATGCAAATGCTATGCTCCCCCTCCTATGCAAAAACCGGATGGTTTGTTCAAAATTACTAAATTTAAAAAAGATTGTTTTATTTGTGGATCGTCCAAACATATAGCTAAAGACTGTGTGGAGGCATTAGATACGTTTTGGAAGCAGGCAAGATGAAAAATAGCAAGCGCCTTCACCGGGAATCGAACCACCGACCTCTGGAGTACCGGACGAGCGTGCAGAACCACTACACCACGAAGTCACGCTAGGAAGGTGGGAGAAATACCTTATCACTGTCAGAAAAAAAAATTAAACGCGGAACTCAAAATAAAACTACTTCCTAAAGTAATAAATCACAGAAAACTGACGTGGTTGTGGCCCAGATTAATACAGAATACCTCGATAAAAAACAGGACGAAATTCAGCCTTTGCAATATGTAAAAATATTAATTGAAAATAAAGAAATTGGTACTACTATCGATTCAAGTACACTAATTCCGATATTAAACAGTAATAGTATTGTACCATCAAGCGATTAACATTACAGAAAAAAATCAAGTTAATATCTGCATTCTGCGAAGAAATAGAAGCGAAATTAATAAAGTTATTTATGTCATTGAAAGATGGGAACTACCCGGTAGATATTTTGGCAGCGGTAACAGATCGCTTGAACTTAGATTGTTTATTACCCACACAAACCTTTGAACCCTTACCCGACCGATGCGGTTTGATGCGGGGGGGGGGGAGGAGAAATAAATTTAATGGAGGAAACGAAACTGGAAGGCTAAACGGGTGGAGTTCAATATGCCTGAAATAGACATCCTTCAGTCCATATGAAGAAACTAAAATGGAAAATAGGGATAATAAATATGCCAACACGCATTCAGAAACAACTCCAGTACAGATGTTAGAAAATAATCAACGTAACGATGTATTGAAATTACGAAAGGAACAGATGTCTTTTTTGACTTTAGAACAGGTCAGAATTAATTTATAATAGGGTAAAGGACATTTTATGGAACTTGATAATATAATTTTTCATAAGGATAAAGTAATGGTTATTCCAAGTTATTAGTTCTTCCAAAGAGTCGAAGAAAAGATGTTTTAAAATTAGCACATGAATCTGTTTTTGGAACTCACATGGAAATAAAGAAAACAAAAAAGAGAATCAGATAAAATTTTTACTGGCCCAATATGGCTAAGATAAAATTTTTACTGGCCCATTCATTATACATTTTGATGCCTTACAAATAGGAGTTGCAATATGTTTGTGACAAAATTTCTATAGACGGAATTATCCCATAGCACACTCGAGCACAGCAATCGTGGTCTACTATTGAAAAAGAAGCATATGCTATTGTGTGGAGTTTGAAGAAATTTGAAACCTGGATTTTCGGATCCAAAACAAAAATACGATACAGACATGAAACATTTACCAGGAGTCAAAATGGGTAACGCAGATGCTTTATCCAGACTGATTAGAAGGATGAACATTCTTTT